TAGCTGGTCAGTGGATAACGAGCACCTACAGAGTATGTGCTCCATACATGCTCCATGTATTTGGAGGTAGGAAGAGGAGGGGTGCCACAGAGGTTAATTAAATTCAGCTCCTGAGTTTTTAAGTTTCTAAGGCTACTATAAAAGATGGGTCAAAACCAGCATTTACCATACCCAGATTCTACTGAGCTTTGTTTCTACGCTTCCATTGGATCTCCATAATGATGATACCACCCTTAACAATACAGATGACAGACTTGGTGTTTGAAGTGCTTTAAATACATCTTCCAGTCCCACTTTGTTATCATCCTGAGGGTCACAAAGTGTCACAGCACTCCTCTGCATAAAGGCCATATTCTGAAAACCATAAATAAGCTCTTCTAGTTCCATGAAATGTTATGATACCAGGTATTGTCCCAAAATTTGCTGCAGGGCTTTAGGCCAGCTTCCCCTCTGCCTGCTACACCAACAGTGAGATCCTCAAGCTCTGACCATGCTTCCTGCACCATGCCCCGTCCTCGTGCCCCAGGGCTGTGCAGAGCAGGAGCTGTGGCTCTCATGGACCTTCATAAGGCCACGAGACCCAGCACCAAGCAACTCACAGCACTGACACTCGACTTGTAGAGGCTTCTGTTGCTGAATGTCAGGTCTTCACACAAAATGTTGGACAGGAAAAGAAACTAAAACTCCCTCAAATGCCCGACGGATTGCTACGGATTGAAGCAAGTACAAAGCTTGGATCCAGGTGGCTGGATCACTGAATTCACCCAAGGCGATTTGTCTCAGTTACTGCAGTAACATCTCTTCTGGCTGTTCTTTACACAAAGGGATGCAAACAAACATCTTTTGCTGAGTATCAAACTTTAACCCTTCCTGCAGAGAAAACCTGGCAAAAGACAAGTGGGAGTTGGTGAAGCACACGAGTCCTAAAATGCCATCTATGCAGAGACCCTCCCTGACCTGGCCTTGAGCTCTCTGAGCACCTTGCAACTGTGTCTTGACTGTGGAACCAGGCCAGCCCTGGGCATTTGCAGGACTGCAGAAGGAATGCTGGCTTGCTGTGCCCAAGCTCACATGATGACCAGGAACAGGCAAAGAGACATTTGTGATAGCTGCACAAGCTTCCAAGTACAAGACTGGAGCTGTGTGGTCACACTGCCCAATTTTCCCGTTGATGCTAAACATCATCCAGTGTTCATGGGGAGTGCTCCAGAGGAGGCTGCAGACAATACTGGTCCCCAGGCGGTTCTGCTGTGTCCCAGCAAGGAAGGATTGGGCTGGGTTACAAACTGAGCCTTTCCTGTCTGCCTCAGCTGGCATCTCACTACTGGCACTGGGTTATCTGGCAGCCCCTGCATCCATGGGACGCTGCTGCCATGCATGTGATGCCAGTCCCACGCTTGGGCTGTCTGAGACCATTCGTGGAACAAGGGACCCGGTCTCCAAAGCACAGCCACACTCGTGCATTGCTGTGCCCAAGCTTATCAGCTCTGACAGCTCTGTGTGACTCGCTGATTAAGTTGTCCCCCAGTGGGATTTCTGCAATATGTCCCACCGGACCTGGCAGTCACCCCTGGGAATTGCCCAAGCCACACAGAAGCCAGAGGCAGGTTTGGAGCTGAGCAGGAGGTGAGCACGCCCCATGGGTTCAGCAAGCTCTCCGTAACAGTCCGGCTCAAATGCGTGGACAGACACTGAACGTGGAGGTGGAGGTAGTGCTGTGTCGTGTACAGGAGTGGAGAGGCTGCAGACGGCAGCGGGGACATGGGGCTGTGTGAGAGCAGGGAGCCCAGGGAGGGAGGGCGCAGATACAAAGCTTGCTCCAAGGAGCAGCGAGAGCTGGGCAGACCTGGAAAGTGGGTCTGCGTCCTGCATTAATACAGGTACTCGTGGTAGAGCAGGTAAGTGCTTGCTTGATTGGAAGCCTGGCAAAAAAAACAAACAACCAACCAAACAAAAAAAAAAAACACAAAGATTTACAACATTTTGGAAAGAAGCAGGAGCAAAACAAGCCCTGCACTAGGTTGGTACGACATCTTCTCGCCAGCAGCATACAGGATCAGCTGCTTCAGGAGATGCACATATCACAGGAAGCAACAGTCTTGGGAGACTTCTTGAATAACATGCCCTGCCTGGGGACTTCTCCCCAAATTAAACAGACAATGGGAGCTGATGCCATGCAGCAGGGACTTCGGGCCATTCCAATCTCTCTCTCTCTTTTTTTTTTTTTTCTTTTTTCCCCAAACACAATTCACATTACAGGCAATATCTTTGCTGTTCATTAAATTATCTCCTCCTTACTTAGTAAATGGCTGAGTCAGGGACTGTGTCCCCCTCCACCACTTTCACAGAACCCACAGCAACCAGACACCAAACGAGTATGAACTGGCACAGTCAGCACTCCTCGCTCAGGGAACAGGTAGCATGGATTTGGTGAGACCATGTGTGAGGTGTGGTCACTGCATCAGCTGTAACAACCACTGCTTACAAGGATGGCCCCAGGGAAGTATGTAAGAATACTTTATGGATCATACTACTACAGGGATAGTGCCTGATCTGTGGTCATGCTAGGCAGAAAGACAGAGGTTGCTGGAAGAACCTTCTATGTATGCATAGAAGAGTGACAGAGTTTAAGATATTATATGCCTAGAAATATCATCTCTCAGCATTTCATCATGAAAAGGTTTCATCTCGTACCTGTGCTCAGCACAGCTCTATCACCTGTGTAATGAAAGGCAGGGCTGGTCTCTGGGCTGGGAGATGCAGCAGTAAATCCAGCTGCTCACCACGCTCCTTCAGGGTGCTGAGCGAAGGTGCTGCCTCACTGCTGCCCCTTGCTCCATCCTCACGACTCCCCGAGGCAACAGCTGCTTGCAAACCCCGCATCAGAAAGCTGCACTTCACCTCCCGCAGGGATCCAGGAATAACCTCTGCCCAAATGCCCCACTGGTTTGACTGGGACCTGGCCTCCCCCAGGTGCTGGAGGCAGAGGGAGACGGGCTGGGCTGGGGAGGGCTGGCTCCCCCTGCCTGGGATGCAGCCCGTGGGGCAGTGCCACACGGATGGGCAAAACCCAGCCTGGAAGGAAGCAGCACGACTGCTGGAAGCCGTGCAGGATTCACCACCCTCTGCAGCATGAAGTGCAGCTTCCTTTGAGGATCATCCAGCTGTGTCTCACTTAACCAGCTCCTTCCCTCTGCAGGGACTTTGCTGACTCTGCTCCCTGCCGTTCCCGGGCTCCTTCTCCAATCACCCCAAGAGACCTGAAGCGCTTCGCGGTCTAAATGGAGCGTGAGCGGTGCTGCCAGGTGGGGCCAAGACAGAAGATCCCAATGCTGCTTCCAGCGTAAAGCCCCAAGCAGCAGGAAGCACGAGGCTGGGAAATAAAGGGGGTGACAGAGCTGCCACAATCCCCTCTCCGCCAGGAGGGTGCTGCTCCCCAGGGGGATCTGCACACCCACCGGCACCCCCGCCCCAGGCGGCAGCACCAGAGACCACGACCGCCCCGCGGGGGCTTCCGAGACGCGGCCCCTGCAGCCCTGCCCAGAGCCCTGCAGAGCTGCGAATGCCTGAGCCAGACCCAGGTCCCGCACAGCCTCACGCCCACTGCCCAACCCGCTCCAAGTCCGCTCCCTCAGCCTTGGCAGACAAAGGAAAATACAGAGCTTGCAGACATTGGGAGGGCAAACGCAAAAAAAAAAAATGGAAATAGGGCACAATTTATCCCATTTTGTCCTAACACGACAGCTGCAAGTCTGATCCGGCAAAAAAACGGATGCCATTTTGAGCCCTGAAGTTTCACTCCACATTACACAGACTGATGTGAGCAGTGCATGGACAGACACGTATGGCACATATTTAGGGAAGGGGAGAGACAGGGAAGGAGAGAGACAGCGACCATATTCTGACTGGAACACAAACACACCCCCCGGCACACCGAGCCCCTCCGAGACACGGACAGAACAAAGGCAATTCAGGAATCCTGACAGAAAATCACACCCAAGATGTAAGCCCAAATCACAACCATCTCCAGGCACACAGGAAAGGTGCAGCTCCACCAAAGGAGCCGGCAGCCACTCATTTAAGCTTTCCCTCCCGCATCCTGCACCCTGCATGCAGGGGAGGGACGGCAGCCTGTGCCGCTGTGCCTCTGCTGACAGCAGCTGCATTTCAGAGACCCCCAGCCTGTGCCGTGCCTTCAGCCTGGAAATGCAGGCGAGAGCACCCCCAGCCTGCGGGGGACCTGCCCCCCATCGCAGGGGCTGAAGCCCATTCCTGTGTGAATATGAGCACATTCGTTAGCAGTCCTCAGGGGACTCTTATTGTAGCAAAAAGATCAGTTCCTTGAAACAGGAGCCACAGAAACTACCGGGTCCAACGTGCCGGCTGCCAGCGCTCAGGTATTGCAGGGCTGTGCAGGTGAAGCGTGCCCCAGGCACCAGCAGAGGCTGGCAGCACAGCTCCGAGGCAGAGCTTCCACCAGCCTGCCCTCGTGCTGGGGCTGAGCCCCAACACAGCCAGGGCCCCCAGGAGGACCCCGATTGTACACACTCAAAGAACAGTGAAAAACTTCAAGCACTTAAAAAAAAAAAAAAAAAAAAAAAGCCGTGGAGGACACCGGCCCTGCCCCATGGGGCTTACACCTGTACCTGGAACGGCAGATGCACTTCATACACCCAGTAAATAGGCAGAAGTGAAAACTCCTACAAATTCAAGGCTACAAATACCAGCATCTGTACCAGAAAAACACCCCAGAACGTTCAAGAGATGCACATTTACCATGAATGGCATTTTCTGTACAATGCACGTACCCAGAAATAGACTGCACTCACACTGCCTCGCTGTCAGAGAAGGAGAAAAGAGATTCCCTTAGGAGACCCTGATGCACAGGGGCTCGAGGGCTGCTCCATGCAGCCAGGGAAGCAGGGTCCGGAGCACTAACCGAGGTGACGAGACGGAGCTCTCCCCCAACCCCAGGACCGAGTGAAAGAAGCAGCCCTTACCTTTGGCCCCTCGCAACACAAACCCGAATCCCTCATGCTCCCTCTTCTGCAGCACGGCCGTCTTCTCCTCAATGATGTAGTCACTGGGCAGGAAAGAGCACAAGAGAATGATGCTAGGGTTAGATTTCAGCACCATGCTGCCAGGCGGAGGTGGCCTTTGTGCCTGTGACAAGGAGACCTCTTCTCATCGACTGTTTCATCTCAGCAAGGAGCTGGGAACACTCTGCTTCCCTCCCTCCCTTGCCCAAAGTCAGAACAAAAAGACGAAAGCTACTTTCCCTCAATAGGTAGGTGGAGGGAAGCCCTGGCTGCCTGGATCACCCTTCTGCCCACCGGTCCCCTTCTCAGTCACCTGCATACGCATGCAGGGAGCTTACTGATCCCACTTGGGGCTTCCCTTTAAATGATGCCCTTAACATATAACTGAAGAGTGGAGCGCCTGAGCAGAGGAGGTGCGGGGGGAGGCAGCCATCCATCCATCAGGGAAGATGCTCTGAGACTTTCCAGTTGCCTCTCGTATGAAAAAATTAGATGCCTGACAAAAGGAAAGGTGCCTCTTTGGTAAGTTTCCTGGGAGAGAGAGCAGCAGAGTTTATATCCTCATCCCGATGCTCTGATCTTCTCTTAAAATCCCCCCCCTCGTTGCTAAGTAACCGTCTGTCATTAGAAGAGGGGGGATGCATTTCATTGTCCTATTTTAACAAAGCCGCTCTTCCCTGCCCTCAACAGCAGCTAGACGAGAAGAACGGAAAAAAATCCGGTGCTGGAGAGAGAGGAATGGACGCGTGGCTCTGAGCAGCCCCCGGGTGCTGGCGGCCCTTCCAACCAAAATCGTCCACAGGCTCCAGGAGAGGCGGGGGGGGGCACGGGGAGAGGGCTTCTCTCCGCAAACGGGAGCTGAAATGCAGCCCTGCAAATCCCTCCCAGCAGAGCCGCATGTCTGACATCAGAGTGGAATTAATCAGGGACCTCGGTCCTGCTCGGCAGCACGGCAGGACGCGTTACGCACCGCGCCACAGCCCGGGCAGGCAGAGGGGGACGGACGGCGTGCGGCGGCCCCCTGACCACACGCGTGGGTGCCGGACCCCGACCCGCAGGGAGGGCACGGAGCGGGCACGGAGGGGGCACGGAGCAGGCACGGAGCGGGCACGGAGCGGGCACGGAGGGGGCACGGAGCAGGCACGGAGCGGGCACGGAGCGGGCACACTGCGGCACGCACACCCCCCAGCCCCACGGCCGCCCCCTGCCCCGTGTGTGCCGCAGGGAAGCGGCTGCGCCACGCCGGGACCACGCGTCCACGCCAGGGGTGTGGGAGCCGCGTTTTGGGGTGAAAGAGGGGCTGTGGGTGCTGCTGCACGGGCCTGGCTGGTGGCCCCATTCTGTGCAGGCTCCCAGCAGCCAGCGACCCCCCAGACCCGGTGCGCCTCTGCACCCTGTCCATCTGCAGCCCCGCCTGACGGCGATGCCTCTGTGGGCATCCATCCGTTTTTTGGTGGTTTTATGGCTCTGCTGTTAACATCACAATAGTATCTGGCTCTCCTAGCACAGGTGGGCAGATTCCTTTGTTTTCCAAGACCAAGGGAAAGCGATCACAGAAGTCAATACATGCCAGGGCCACAGGTACCAAGGCGCTCTGGAAGACTCGGAAGAGATGCTGTCCAACAAAGTTAACACAGAACTCAAGCCTAAACTCCTTGGACTTCCCTGGTATTTCACTGTGTGCTATAACGCTATAATTTTGGACATCCTTTGGCATTACACATTAAAAAAAAAAAAAAGGTATCTATAAACCCATCACTTTGTGCAACAAAGTACCTAGGTGTGGACAAAATTCAACAGAACTATGTGAACTGCTTTAAAGGAGGTGGCTGCTGTCACACAGTCATCCATTTATGTCACATTTTCAACACATTGCCTGTCTTTCAAAAGCAGAGCTGGGTATGCATATGCTCCTTGACACGTGTAAAACTCTCCCTTCTACAACAAAATCCTCTCTTCCAAGTCTAGCATGTTCTACTGGAAACAGATTCATACCCGCAACGCCCAGAAGAGGCCATTACAGGAGAATGATTCTCCTGTCCACCTAAGGGCAGCCAGACAACCTCGAACCATGATTCCTGTATCAAGCCTTTACCTTCTCCTTGAGCCATGGCTTACTGTCTAGGAACAGAGCTAGACCTAAGACATTTCACATCCAGAGGAATATCCCCCCTTTTCCGTCAAGCCCTTGTAGATGCCCTGTGTGAGATCTTAACCCTACACCGTGAGAAATTCTGCCACCTCTACAAGCGTGCGTTTGTGCAGGTGTATGTGCAGGGGAAGGAGAGAGAGGGAAAGGCAAACAAACGTTCTGTACAAAATTGTGGTTTTAATTTTAGCTAGTGGTGGGCCAAGTGCCCAACTAGTCCTGCTGTGATTGCTTTATCAATGAAAAAGTAGGGAATCCATGATAAAATTCTGTACCTAATTCTTCCATAGGACCTCTGTGGTTGTTTTATCCAGATGACTAAATAAAGAAATTCTTGAAAAAAACACTTGCATCCTGTGTAAGTACAGTTTATGCAGCCTCCAACAATCCTCACCTACCAAGACTTCCTCTAATAACGTACACCTTTAAATAAGCTCAGCCCACTGCTGCTTTACCAAAAGTTACTTTGCAAAAATATTTCATTCTTTCAACCACCTCTGAATTAAACCTCCACCTGCAAATAAACTGGCGAGAAGTATCTTAATTTAAAATCTAAACTTGTCAGAAACAACAGGAAAACTCCCCAACATGCTTCTTTCTGTCTCTGGATACTCCACCAGTATGTATGTAGAGCCACCTGTGGGTTTTTTGGAAATGCTGGACATTTATTTGTTTTAGCACACTCCCCTCCTCTGTGTCTTCCACAGAGGGATTTACAAAGTTTGATTTGCAAGGGGGATCTTGCAAGAGCACTCCCAGTTTAAGTCCCTCTGGAACCTGCAAACTCTTTGCCTATTGCCATTTATCTCTACAAACACCAAAAAATGCCTCAGGTTCATAACCGATTACAGTAAAATCCAGTGGACACCTTCACTTTTTGATATAGCCACACTAAATAGTTCTATAGATAGATCTATATAAAAAGTGAAATAAAAACCCACTAAATTTTTGTGAACTAGAATCATGGGGGAGTAGAAAGTCACCTGAGATGCCACTGATTGACACTGCTAGAGCTCTGAGAGCTGGAAAAAGAAGCAAAAACCAGCCTGGAGAAGGAGGTGAAGCAGTGCAATCAAAGATCTGTGATAGTGTCATACCAAAAAAGTAACCTGAATTACTCATTTCTTTATTTTTGTCTAAATAAAAATAGGAACTTTCAAAAAAATGTAGTGAGGAGTTATTTGAATTTTAAAATATTTGAGAAAGATTAAGCAAAATAGTGATTTAATACTCTTGGGACATAAATGTTAATCAAGTTATGATACCTGATGGAAAACAGCCCCTCAGGTTCACTGCCAGATTACTGTGCCCTACATGTAGCTGGTCAATGAGTAAGCAGATGAGCTGGTGTAACGACACAGAGGCATCAGAGCACGGCCCTTCAGAGCTGCTGCTTGAGATGACAAAAAGCCTGATGGGTTATCCCGCTCCCACAATGCCGGGGTTGGGTATCAGACCTCCTTCTGCTGGTTTACCTTTTACTGAAACCACATTACAGACAGTTAATGCACTTGACCAGGGCTAATTATTTTAGTAAATTTGTGACTGTTTAGAGAGACAAACCCAATAGATCAAATGAACAATTACAAAAAAATAGCAAGGTTATGACTGGACTAAATAGCTACAATTAACTCCAGTCATCCTGGTAACACTGTGATGGCAAAGACGAGCTCTGACCTAAGTGGAAAAAACAGCAATTGGAGGAATTCAATGTTTTTTTTCTCCATTATCTGGGCCGGCTGAAGTTCTCTGAAAGTGCCTGGGGAGCTGGTGGAAAACATCTGAGAGCTGTGATGGATTGTTCTGAGAACCTGCATGGGATGCACGACACTCCAGAAGATCTGAAAAAGGCATCACGCGCATCTTTAAAAACAGGCAATAGAAAGATCAAAGGAAGTATAAATTGAGGTAACTCATCTTTAATTCCCAGGAAAACTCTCTAACAAACAACACAACAGTTTAATAAAACATCTAGAAGAATAGAAGGTGATAAATCCCAGGTGCATGGATTTGAAAGAACAAATCGTGCTAAACTGACCTAATTTCTGTTTGAACATACTAGGTCTCATGAACATGGGAAAGGCAGTTCTGTGATGTGTATCTTGATGCCAGTTAAACACTTTGAATGCTCTCACAAGACATTCTCACAAAAAGCAAGGGGAACATAAACTGCTGCACAGTGAGTAAATAGCTGGTTTGACATTTTTCACTGTTGAACTGGATGGAAATATAAAGTGGGATTTAAAAGCGGGTCTGTCTTGGGACAATCTCAATGCCTTCACCAATGACTAGGATGTAATAGAGAGCAAACTTCAACTTGCAGAGGATCCTAACTCAGAGGACAGCAAAATGTTGTAAGAGAGGATTTGTATTCATGTGGTACCATCACTGGAGCAATGATCTAAAAAATACTGGAGGAGAAAGGAAAGTGCAAGGCACTAGGCAGGAGCTATGAAAAGAAAGGCAGAGGCTGCAGAGGGACTGGCTGGACAGCCAGCAGGGAAAGCCAGAAATACCACTTTGGACTCAGAAGCATCAGCTGCAGTGTCACACTGGACAGACTGGAGAAAAATAAGCAAGAGTGCTGTCTAAGATCTGACTTAATCCTCCTGCCCTACCCCATGCGACAGTAGCCTTGGGAGTCATCGAGTTAAACGTGGGCGTACATAAAACAAGCACCTACAGTGAGCAAGTTGCTCCAGGCTCCTTTTAGACTCAATGGAGATCTGTTCGGTGAAGTCAATGGAGCTGTGATTCATCCCATGCTGAAATGACCGCCTACATTTTGTCAAATGAATGGCACCCCTGGCTTCACTGACTGCACACATCTGCATCGACTCTCAGGGAAAGCCAGGGCGATGAGCGCAGACACCTACATGGTAGACACCTACAACA